CTTGTGCAATGCCGGAAACTTCTGGCGACGCGTTGAAGAGATGGACTCAGATGGACTCAGACCTGAGCTCGGAAGGCTTCTCACAGCAACTTGCAGAAGATGTCCGGTCGAGTGCGGGTTGCGGAAGGCTTGAAGTCAAGTCTCCTGCTCCGGACTTGAGTAGTTTAGTTGCCAATTTGCAAGCTTTAAGTCGAGTGAGTCAGGATGTGCGAGCAGTTGCTTGCACAGCCTGGGCCTAGCTTTGCGCCCTTACTTGGAGCATGTCTGAGTCAGCAGTGGAAGTAGATGCCCAGCGCCCAGCCTGTTGCCCCAGGCGCCTCTTACAAAGTTTGTGGCCCTGTCCTTGACTCAGCCCCAACTCCTTGACGCCAGCTGCCGCTCCAAACTCTTCGCAGAGAATTCCGGAGTCTTCCAGTTCTGTAACCGCCTGGACCTGGCAGCTGGTTTGTTCAGCAAATGTTGGCAGTGGGCCACGGGAAAATCCTTCATCTTTTCGTGGGCTAACTAGGTGGGTTCATCAGCTTGTCCTATGCGCGCTTCTTGTGCCCTGCGGGCAAGCAATGCCCGACGAGCCCATCCCTTTGACACCAGATTAGGTCAGGTAACTTGGGGTTTCTGAGTCCGAAGGTTTGTATTAAAGCATATTTGTATGTGTGAGTTGTGAGTGAACAAAGACCGGTGCCCGCCGACGTGCCCAGCCCTTTGCCGTTCTTTTGCGAGTATGCATGGGGGGAAAAGCTCACATCAAGCCGGGCCCACTACAGGAGGTCTCCAACTTTTGCGTGGTGGATCTCCTCTTTGGTAGCTCTTTGGCTTGGACAAGTACGAGCCGCCGCTTTGCAAAGGTGCTGTGCCGGACGACAGTTTTGTGAAGCGGGAATGGCTCGTGCATTCTGAGAGCAGATGCACCCAGCGATGGCTAGCTCTTGCATTGGCGAGCAGATGCCGCCCGGCTTTGACTCAGCCCCAGCTCCTGGTTCGAGCTCGGGAGAAACCACGTGTTTGCCAGTAGGTGCCAAGGTAGCCTTTTGCAAGGCGTCAGAGGCCGAGCTTACGGATTCCGGGGACGCCCAGCCTGCCTTGCATCTAAGGTGCCGGCTTCTGTTCAATACGTGTAGCTCCAAGCCAGAGGGGACAAGATGGGCTCAGTGTCATGGTTGTTGTTGGGAAACATTTTACATTTTTGCTTATTGTGGTTTAGTGGGAAATCCCCACTTAACAGCTTTTTTTTTTTTTTTTTGCTCCCCTTTCAACGTCAACCAAGGTGTAGCTCCAAGCCAGAGGGCACAAGGGCACTTTGGAGGTTGGAGTGCTTGAATCACTTAAGCTGCAGCCGACCTTCCACGCAGTTAAAATTCATAAAGACGCGGGTGCGCCCCAGAGCGCCAAGCCCTTTTCTCGAGCTTGATAGGCCTAATTGACGACACGGAGGAGACCAAGAACCGAAAAAGTCAAACAAGTATATAGTAGGGAAAGGACGCGTCTTGGCTCCATCGCAAGCTCTATGGGCACTTGGATTCCGTGTTTTATTCCACTGCTTCAGATGACGCATGTCAAAGAGAATATTCTCTCCACTTTCGCCTGTCAATCCTGCAAGTGGATTGGCCCTGCTGCCTTCCGCCCAACGCGCGTGTATGCCAATCGGGAAAAAGATGCAGGTCCTGCTTTGAGACCCAGTGTCCTAAAATGTAAATCGCAACAATGGCTGGCTTCCCTTTACGCTTCCCTTTAGCAACAGAGAAACAATCCAGTAACAGGTAACAATTACTCCGTTTGCAGCCGTTTGAAGCTCTCAAGCTCCACCTTGCCCGTTTCGGACACCTCGACATCCGCAATGCTGTGTGTTCTTGTGTCTATGATTACCGCCAGTGTCGTTTTGGCAGACACTACTCCCCAGGAGAGCAAAGGCGCCTGTGCCTTGCAGACGAAGATGAAGAAGGAAGAATCAGCAAAGGTCATGTGCAGCGCGCATGAGGTCATGTGCCCTGATCCCACGACCGGGACCAACAGCTGCCACCCGATGAGCACGGGCTGCCCAGTCACATGTGCAGCAGGTGAACAGGTGTGCCATGTTCCAGCGACGTGCGATACTTGCAGTGGCTACAGCTACTGCTCGTCCTACAGCTGTCCCGTCTATTGCAGCAGTGACGAAGTGATGTGCCACGACCCCACAACAATGACGGACAGCTGCCACCCAAAGAGCGCAGGCTGCCCAGTTACATGTTCTGCAGGGGACAATGTGTGCCACACGCCACCATCTTGCGAGACTTGTGATGGCTACAACTGGTGCTCTTCACACCCTTGCCCAGTATACTGTGCCGCCCACGAAGTCATGTGCCATGACCCCATGACCATGACGGACAGCTGCCACAACAAAACCGCAGGCTGCCCAGTCACATGTCCTGCAGGGGATCATGTGTGCCATAGCCCGCCTCCCTGCGAGAATTGTGATGGCTACAACTGGTGCTCTGCATACGCTTGCCCGGTGTACTGTGCGTCCGACGAAGTAATGTGCCACGACTCCACGACCATGACCGACAGCTGCCACCCGATGAGCACAGGCTGCCCAGTCACATGTGCGGCAGGTGAGCAAGTCTGCCATGTTCCAGCGACGTGCGATACTTGCAGTGGCTACAGCTACTGCTCGTCGTACAGTTGTCCCGTCTATTGCAGCAGTGACGAAGTGATGTGCCACGACCCCACAACAATGACGGACAGCTGCCACCCAAAGAGCGCAGGCTGCCCAGTTACATGTCCTGCAGGGGACAGCGTGTGCCACACGCCACCATCTTGCGAGACTTGCGATGGCTACAACTGGTGCTCTTCACACCCTTGCCCGGTGTACTGTTCCTCCGACGAAGTAATGTGCCACGACTCCACGACCATGACCGACAGCTGCCACCCGATGAGTACCGGCTGCCCAGTCACATGTGCAGCAGGTGAACAGGTGTGCCATGTTCCAGCGACGTGCGATACTTGCAGTGGCTACAGCTACTGCTCGTCCTACAGCTGTCCCGTCTATTGCAGCAGTGACCAAGTGATGTGCCACGACCCCACAACAATGACGGACAGCTGCCACCCAAAGAGCGCAGGCTGCCCAGTCACATGTCCGGCAGGGGATCATGTGTGCCATAGCCCACCTCCATGCGAGAATTGTGATGGCTACAACTGGTGCGCTTCATACCCTTGCCCGGTATACTGTGCAGCCGACGAAATAGTGTGCCATGACCCCATGACCATGACGGACACCTGCCACCCAATGAACAGTGGCTGTCCAGTGTGAGCGTGTATCCATATCGGGAGTGCCATGGCCACAAGTAGTTCATGTGCACCCTTATACTCTTGAGCGCTAAGTTTGAACTTTTGACCGCGAGGTTCCCACAGGAGGAGTCAGCCAAGTCGGGGTAACCGACTACAGCGACCTTCCAGGGTGCTTCTCTGCTTCAGAACGCGAAGCGTGAATCTGCTCTTGCTATGAGAAAAGGAGGTACGCTCAGGACTTTGTTTTGAGTGTTGAAACAAGGGTAAACATCATAAACAATTGTCTTTTCCCTTGAGCCGACGACTTGCTCAGAACAAGCAAGAGTCAGAAGCGGATGGTGATGATGTGAGCCTGCTGTTGTGATCACCAACCCCCTTTCCATGCTGGACAGGGTTGCCCCGTTTTTTAAGAGCTGGGAAAGGGAACATATTTGGGCCTGCTTGAGCGCATGGTTTCCCGACGGGCTGAAGTTTGGCTCCAAGCAAGCCTTGTGCAATGCCGGAACCTTGCGGCGACGCTTTGAAGAGATGGACTCAGATGGACTCAGATGGACTCAGATGGACTTAGACCAGTCCGACCTTCAACATCTTAGCCCATCGCTGGCGAGCGGCCAGTGACCGAAGCTCTGCGCTCTTGAGCTGTGCGGCTTGCGGATGGCTTCCGCAGCAGTTTGCAGGAAGCCCCCAGAAGCGTAAGACTGCCGTAGCTGAAGCGCCCCGTGCCCCGGAGTCTGCCCCCTTCTTTCCGGAACAGCCTTGGCAGCAAACGTTTGTTCAGCAAATGGTGGCAGGGTGCAACACGAAACGGCTTCATCTTTTTGTGGGCCCTCCGAAGATTTGTATCAAAGCGCGTTTGTATGCGTGAGTTCCGTATGGGGGGAGGGGGGACTCGCGTCAATCCGGGTCTACCGGGTGTAGTGGAGGTCTCCAACTTTTGCGGGGTTGCCACGAGCTTGTGCGATTGCTTTTTTTTTGTTTCACGAGCCTAGATCGGGCAGAGACACCCAGCCCTTTGCATCTTGGAACGCGCCAGTTTTTTCACTTTTATGAGCTCAGTGTCATGGTTGTTGTTGGGACACATTTTACATTTTTGCTTATTGTGGTTTAGTGGGAAATCCCCACTTAACAGCTAAAATTTAAAATTGTTGCTCCCCTTTCAACGTCAACCAAGGTGTAGCTCCAAGCCAGAGGGCACAAGGGCACTTTGGAGGTTGGAGTGCTTGAATCACTTAAGCTGCAGCTGACCTTCCACGCAGTTAAAATTCATAAAGACGCGGGTGCGCCCCAGAGCGCCAAGCCCTTTTCTCGAGCTTGATAGGCCTAATTGACGACACGGAGGAGACCGAGAACCGAAAAAGTCAAACAAGTATCGTAGGGAAAGGACGCGTCTTGGCTCCATCGCAAGCTCTATGGGCACTTGGATTCCGTGTTTTATTCCACTGCTTCAGATGACGCATGTCAAACAGAAGATTCTCTCCACTTTCGCCTGTCAATCCTGCAAGTGGATTGGCCTTGCTGCCTTCCGCCCAACGCGCGTGTACGCCAATCGGGAAAAAGATGCAGGTCCTGCTTTGAGACCCAGTGTCCTAAAATGTAAATCGCAACAATGGCTGGCTTCCCTTTACGCTTCCCTTTAGCAACAGAGAAACAATCCAGTAACAGGTAACAATTACTCCGTTTGCAGCCGTTTGAAGCTCTCAAGCTCCACCTTGCCCGTTTCGGACACCTCGACATCCGCAATGCTGTGTGTTCTTGTGTCTATGATTACCGCCAGTGTCGTTTTGGCAGACACTACTCCCCAGGAGAGCAAAGGCGCCTGTGCCTTGCAGACGAAGATGAAGAAGGAAGAATCAGCAAAGGTCATGTGCAGCGCGCATGAGGTCATGTGCCCTGATCCCACGACCGGGACCAACAGCTGCCACCCGATGAGCACGGGCTGCCCAGTCACATGTGCAGCAGGTGAACAGGTGTGCCATGTTCCAGCGACGTGCGATACTTGCAGTGGCTACAGCTACTGCTCGTCCTACAGCTGTCCCGTCTATTGCAGCAGTGACCAAGTGATGTGCCACGACCCCACAACAATGACGGACAGCTGCCACCCAAAGAGCGCAGGCTGCCCAGTTACATGTTCTGCAGGGGACAATGTGTGCCACACGCCACCATCTTGCGAGACTTGTGATGGCTACAACTGGTGCTCTTCACACCCTTGCCCAGTATACTGTGCCGCTCACGAAGTCATGTGCCATGACCCCATGACCATGACGGACAGCTGCCACAACAAAACCGCAGGCTGCCCAGTCACATGTCCTGCAGGAGATCATGTGTGCCATAGCCCGCCTCCCTGCGAGAATTGTGATGGCTACAACTGGTGCTCTGCATACGCTTGCCCGGTGTACTGTGCGTCCGACGAAGTAATGTGCCACGACTCCACGACCATGACCGACAGCTGCCACCCGATGAGCACAGGCTGCCCAGTCACATGTGCGGCAGGTGAGCAAGTCTGCCATGTTCCAGCGACGTGCGATACTTGCAGTGGCTACAGCTACTGCTCGTCGTACAGTTGTCCCGTCTATTGCAGCAGTGACGAAGTGATGTGCCACGACCCGACAACAATGACGGACAGCTGCCACAACAAAACCGCAGGCTGCCCAGTTACATGTCCTGCAGGGGACAACGTGTGCCACACGCCACCATCTTGCGAGACTTGCGATGGCTACAACTGGTGCTCTTCACACCCTTGCCCGGTATACTGTGCGTCCGACGAAGTAATGTGCCACGACTCCACGACCATGACCGACAGCTGCCACTCGATGAGTACCGGCTGCCCAGTCACATGTGCAGCAGGTGAACAGGTGTGCCATGTTCCTGCGACGTGCGATACTTGCAGTGGCTACAGCTACTGCTCGTCCTACAGCTGTCCCGTCTATTGCAGCAGTGACCAAGTGATGTGCCACGACCCCACAACAATGACGGACAGCTGCCACCCAAAGAGCGCAGGCTGCCCAGTCACGTGTCCGGCAGGGGATCATGTGTGCCATAGCCCGCCTCCATGCGAGAATTGTGATGGCTACAACTGGTGCGCTTCATACCCTTGCCCGGTATACTGTGCAGCCGACGAAATAGTGTGCCATGACCCCATGACCATGACGGACACCTGCCACCCAATGAGCAGTGGCTGTCCAGTGTGAGCGTGTATCCATATCGGGAGTGCCATGGCCACAAGTAGTTCATGTGCACCCTTATACTCTTGAGCGCTAAGTTTGAACTTTTGACCGCGAGGTTCCCACAGGAGGAGTTAGCCAAGTTGGGGTAACCGAGCGACCTTCCAGGGTGCTTCTCTGCTTCAGAACGCGAAGCGTGAATCTGCTCTTGCTATGAGAAAAGGAGGTACGCTCAGGACTTCTTTTTGAGTGTTCAAGCAAGGGTAAACATCAGAAACAATGGTCTTTTTCCTTGAGCCGACCACTTGCTTAGAACAAGCAAGAGGCAGAAGCGGATGGTGATGATGTGAGCCTGCTGTTGTGATCACCAACCCCCTTTCCATGTTGGACAGAGTTGCCCCCTTTTTTAAGGGTTGGGAAAGGCCATTGATTTGGGCAGGCTTGAGCGCATGGTTTCCCTATGGGCTGAAGTTTGGCTCCCAGCAAGCCTTGTGCAATGCCGGAACCTTGCGGCGACGCTTTGAAGATATGGACTCAGATGGACTTAGATGGACTCAGACCTGTCCGACCTTCATCTTAGCCCATCGCTGGCGGTGGGCGGCCACTCTGCAACGCTCTTGAGCTGTGCGGCTTGCGGAGGGCTTCCGCAGCAGTTTGCAGGAAGCCCCCAGAAGCGTAAGACTGCCGTAGCTGAAGCGCCCCGTGCCAGCTTCGGCGGCTCTAAACTCTCAGAGACTCCCGGAGTCTGCCCCCTTCTTTCCGGAACAGCCTTGGCAGCAAACGTTTGTTCAGCAAATGGTGGCAGGGTGCAACACGAAACGGCTTCATCTTTTTGTGGGCCCTCCGAAGATTTGTATCAAAGCGCGTTTGTATGCGTGAGTTCCGTATGGGGGGAGGGGGGACTCGCGTCAATCCGGGTCTACCGGGTGTAGTGGAGGTCTCCAACTTTTGCGGGGTTGCCACGAGCTTGTGCGATTGCTTTTTTTGTTTTGTTTCACGAGCCTAGATCGGGCAGAGACACCCAGCCCTTTGCATCTTGGAACGCGCCAGTTTTTTCACTTTTATGAGCTCAGTGTCATGGTTGTTGTTGGGACACATTTTACATTTTTGCTTATTGTGGTTTAGTGGGAAATCCCCACTTAACAGCTAAAATTTAAAATTGTTGCTCCCCTTTCAACGTCAACCAAGGTGTAGCTCCAAGCCAGAGGGCACAAGGGCACTTTGGAGGTTGGAGTGCTTGAATCACTTGAGCTGCAGCTGACCTTCCACGCAGTTAAAATTCATAAAGACGCGGGTGCGCCCCAGAGCGCCAAGCCCTTTTCTCGAGCTTGATAGGCCTAATTGACGACACGGAGGAGACCAAGAACCGAAAAAGTCAAACAAGTATATAGTAGGGAAAGGACGCGTCTTGGCTCCATCGCAAGCTCTATGGGCACTTGGATTCCGTGTTTTATTCCACTGCTTCAGATGACGCATGTCAAAGAGAATATTCTCTCCACTTTCGCCTGTCAATCCTGCAAGTGGATTGGCCCTGCTGCCTTCCGCCCAACGCGCGTGTACACCAATCGGGAAAAAGATGCAGGTCCTGCTTTGAGACCCAGTGTCCTAAAATGTAAATCGCAACAATGGCTGGCTTCCCTTTATGCTTCCCTTTAGCAACAGAGAAACAATCCGGCAACAGGTAACATTTACTCCGTTTGCAGCCGTTTGAAGCTCTCAAGCTCCACCTTGCCCGTTTCGGACACCTCGACATCCGCAATGCTGTGTGTTCTTGTGTCTATGATTACCGCCAGTGTCGTTTTGGCAGACACTACTCCCCAGGAGAGCAAAGGCGCCTGTGCCTTGCAGACGAAGATGAAGAAGGAAGAATCAGCAAAGGTCATGTGCAGCGCGCATGAGGTCATGTGCCCTGATCCCACGACCGGGACCAACAGCTGCCACCCGATGAGCACGGGCTGCCCAGTCACATGTGCAGCAGGTGAACAGGCGTGCCATGTTCCAGCGACGTGCGATACTTGCAGTGGCTACAGCTACTGCTCATCCTACAGCTGTCCCGTCTATTGCAGCAATGACCAAGTGATGTGCCATGACTCCACGACCATGACGGACAGCTGCCACCCAAAGAGCGCAGGCTGCCCAGTCACATGTCCTGCAGGGGACAATGTGTGCCACACGCCACCATCTTGCGAGACTTGCGATGGCTACAACTGGTGCTCTTCACACCCTTGCCCGGTATACTGTGCCGCTCACGAAGTAATGTGCCATGACTCCATGACCATGACGGACAGCTGCCACAACAAAACCGCAGGCTGCCCAGTCACATGTCCTGCAGGAGATCATGTGTGCCATAGCCCGCCTCCCTGCGAGAATTGTGATGGCTACAACTGGTGCTCTGCATACGCTTGCCCGGTGTACTGTGCGTCCGACGAAGTAATGTGCCACGACTCCACGACCATGACCGACAGCTGCCACCCGATGAGCACGGGCTGCCCAGTCACATGTGCAGCAGGTGAGCAAGTCTGCCATGTTCCAGCGACGTGCGATACTTGCAGTGGCTACAGCTACTGCTCGTCCTACAGTTGTCCCGTCTATTGCAGCAGTGACGAAGTGATGTGCCACGACCCGACAACAATGACGGACAGCTGCCACCCAAAGAGCGCAGGCTGCCCAGTTACATGTCCTGCAGGGGACAACGTGTGCCACACGCCACCATCTTGCGAGACTTGCGATGGCTACAACTGGTGCTCTTCACACCCTTGCCCGGTATACTGTGCGTCCGACGAAGTAATGTGCCACGACTCCACGACCATGACCGACAGCTGCCACCCGATGAGTACCGGCTGCCCAGTCACATGTGCAGCAGGTGAACAGATGTGCCATGTTCCAGCGACGTGCGATACTTGCAGTGGCTACAGCTACTGCTCGTCCTACAGTTGTCCCGTCTATTGCAGCAGTGACCAAGTGATGTGCCACGACTCCACAACAATGACAGACAGCTGCCACCCAAAGAGCGCAGGCTGCCCAGTCACATGTCCGGCAGGGGATCATGTGTGCCATAGCCCGCCTCCATGCGAGAATTGTGATGGCTACAACTGGTGCGCTTCATACCCTTGCCCGGTATACTGTGCAGCCGACGAAATAGTGTGCCATGACCCCATGACCATGACGGACACCTGCCACCCAATGAGCAGTGGCTGTCCAGTGTGAGCGTGTATCCATATCGGGAGTGCCATGGCCACAAGTAGTTCATGTGCACCCTTATACTCTTGAGCGCTAAGTTTGAACTTTTGACCGCGAGGTTCCCACAGGAGGAGTCAGCCAAGTTGGGGTAACCGACTACAGCGACCTTCCAGGGTGCTTCTCTGCTTCAGAACGCGAAGCGTGAATCTGCTCTTGCTATGAGAAAAGGAGGTACGCTCAGGACTTCGTTTTGAGTGTTGAAACAAGGGTAAACATCAGAAACGATGGTCTTCCCTTGAGCCGACCACTTGCTTAGAACAAGCAAGAGTCAGAAGCGGATGGTGATGATGTGAGCCTGCTGTTGTGATCACCAACCCCCTTTCCATGTTGGACAGGGTTGCCCCGTTTTTTAAGAGCTGGGAAAGGCCATTGATTTGGGCAGGCTTGAGCGCATGGTTTCCCTATGGGCTGAAGTTTGGCTCCCAGCAAGCCTTGTGCAATGCCGGAACCTTGCGGCGACGCTTTCAGCCCATCGCTGGCGAGCGGCCAGTGACCGAAGCTCTGCGCTCTTGAGCTGTGCGGCTTGCGGAGGGCTTCCGCAGCAGTTTGCAGGAAGCCCCCAGAAGCGTAAGACTGCCGTAGCAGCGCCCACCCGTGCCCGGGTCAGGTGACTCTTGAGCTCGAGGCCTTGTCTTTCACCCAGCAACCCCTGCCTGCAAGCTTTGGCGGCTCCAAACTCTCAGAGACCCCGGAGTCTTCCAGTTCCGTAAGGAACCGCCTTGACCTGGCAGCTGGTTTGTTCAGCACATGTTGGCAGGGTGCAACACGAAACAGCTTCATCTTTTCGTGGGCCAACTTGGTAGGTTTGTCCAGCTTTTCGTATGCACGCTTCTTGCGCTTTGAGGGCTTCCGCAATGCTAGAAGCTGCCAGCTGCACATCGGCGGCAGTAACGACCAGACTGTGCATCATGCCACCCTTTTCGACGATCTGGCGGCGCATATGAAACAGAGTGTCAACCCCAACGGAGAAGACAGCGTTGCTGCCCGAGACGCAACGAGCAAAGGTAAAGTGTTCCCATCAAGGGCCCACAACCTGTTGGCCACAAGCAATGCCCGACGAGCGCATCCCTTTGAAACCAGATTAGGTCAGGTTGCTTGGGGTTTCTGAGTCCGAAGATTTGTATCAAAGCGTGTTTGTGTGTCAGTTGCAGTAAAGACTGGTGCCGCCCCCGACGTGCCCAGCCCTTTGCCGTCCTTTTGCGAGTATGTAAACCGGGTCCACTACAGGAGGTCTCCAACTGTTGCGTGGTGGATGGCCTCTTTGGTAGCTCTTTGATTGACATTTCCTTGCCCAAAAGGTGAAGGTGCCTGATTCTTAACCAAAGCAAGTGGATTCCTTCCCCAGTCGGCCGTCCTTTGTTTTGGACTCGCTGTGCTTCCAAAAAATCATCCGCAGAAGGAGCGAGTTTTTCTCTCCCATCCAGCGAAACGCTGAACGAAACCGGATCGGTTCTCGAAAGGCACGGATCGGTTCTTCCGCTTGCCTGAACCCTCAAACTACCCATAAAAATGGGATATCACCCCATAATTTTGGGGGTCAAACCCATTTTTAAGGGTAGTTTGAGGGTTCAGGTGCATCTCTGGCTGTGAAAAACAGCCAGAGATGCAGGGCCTGCAGGGCCTTCGGCGTTCCTTTTCCACGTGCCGGACAACCAATCGCTCGCTTGAACCTGCCCGAAGTGGCGCCGTTGCCAAGGAACTTAGAACGGAATGCGCGCCGCACGATCCAAATCTGATGTTCTGCAGCTGCAGTTTCCATGCGCCTTCTGCGGGCTTCCTTGAATACCACTCAGCTGAAGCTGTGTGTTTTATGATTTGTCGCCTTGCCATCATTTCTGGGGTAGACTTAGGATACAGTTTGCATTTTACCAGTGACTAAAAGTGAAGCAAACAATAAATAAAATCTACATTCAATAACTGGGCCTATCTCGAATCATGATTTGACCTGACCTTTGAAGCCAGGGAGAAGCGGCAGGGGGCAGGTCCGATCTGAGATAGGAGCGCGTGGGCGCGCGCGCACAGTCCCAATTTGGACCTTGGCGAGAAACGAGTTGTAGATACAGGGTTGAGTCGGGGTGCAGCTCTATCTCCACTCTTGGTGGTTTTCAACATTGCGAGTTCCCTTTTTTGGCGTGGTGGTATCAAAAAAAGAGCCTTGTTCAGCTGTTGACGACCCGTTTAAAGACGTGAAGGGAACTCTGCTTTGGATGGGTTCCGTTCTGAAAGTACCTGTCACGCAGGGCCAGCGCTTCGTTTTCTCTTTTTTGATGTTGCTCGCTCAGGGCGCCACAAATCCAGGAAGCTCCGAGATTGAAACTCCGGTTTGTTAAAGAAGCTGGCAGGTTGCTTCGGCCAAAGTTGGAATGTTCAAAAGGTCTAAATTGGAATGTTCAAAAGGTCTTATTCAAGTTGGAATGTTCAAAAGTTGGAAGTTCAAAAGGGTGTCAATGGTCTCACGAGAGAATCTTTTAGAAGGGCCCTAAATTTTATACTTGAACATGGGCTTCGAGCAGCCCATAAGGTTGCGAGAGTTGCTGAAAGGCCACGGGTTTTTCTGCTTCAAACAAGGGGTTCCCTTTTGTTGGGTCCCCATTTTTTGAACGCGCCGGGTACATGCCCACCCGCGCGTTTTTTGCGTGTCTTTGGTTTTTGTGCTTGAGTTCTCAGGCAGTTTGACAAACGTGCATCTTTGTGGGTCTTTGAACATCCCGGTAACTAACTCATTTCAGAGTAAAGCCGCGCATTTTTTGTTCTAGTCAGGACACATGGCAGGGAGACGTGGGCTGCCAGAAGCCGGGGCACCGGCTGGAGACATGTCCTATCCCAGTGGAACTTGAAATCCGCCGCCTTCGTGGACTGCGTTGTTTGTTGTTTCGCTTGGGCGGGTGCACTTGAGCGGGCGTGCTTACCATTTGGCATGCGTGCGTGCAGCGCAAAGCGGGCGCACTTCAGCGAGTATTCTTACCATTTGGCATGCGTGTCTGCAGTGCTGAGCGGATGCACCTCAGTGGGTGTTCTTTCCATTTGGCATGCGTGTGTGCAGCGCAAAGCGGGTGCACCTCAGCGGGTGTTCTTTCCATTTGGCACGCGTGTGTGCAGCGCAAAGCGGGTGCACTTCAGCGGGTGTTCTTACCATTTGGCACGCGTGTGTGCAGTGCTGAGCGGATGCACCTCAGCGGGTGTTCTTACCATTTGGCGGAGTGCTGAGCGGATGCACCTCAGCGGGTGTTCTTTCCATTTGGCCTGCATGTGTGCAGCGCAAAGCGGGTGCACTTCCGGGGGTGTTCTTACCATTTGGCATGCGTGTGTGCAGCGCAAAGCGGGTGCACTTCAGCGGGTGTTCTTACCATATGGCATTCGTGTGCGCAGTCCTGAGCGAATGCACCTCAGCGGGTGTTCTCACCAATTTGGCATGCATGTGTGCAGCGCAAAGCGGGTGCACTTCAGCGGGTGTTCTTACTATTCGGCATGCCTGCGTGCAACGCTGACAGGGTGCACTTCAGCGAGTGTTCTTACCATCTGGCACGGGTGCACTTCAGTGGGTGTTCTTGCCATATGACATGCGTGTGTGCAGTGCTGAGCGGGTGCTCTTGAGTTTGGCGGGGGTAAAAACCACTTCGACTTGCGAGTGGGTAAATACCCGGTACCTTTTTGAAGATCTAGGCAGGGACCCTGTCATTCAAATATTTGGCTTGGATCCGTATGGCTGGGACGACTCGGCAGCTTGTAGCATTGGCTCAAAAGAGATGCCGTACATCCTGGAATTGTGTACGTGCAAGGAGCTTCCTTTTGCAACATAGCGTGAAATATGCGTGCTGAGCTTGTAGGACCGCGTTGGTTGATTTCTTTAGATTGACATCGCTGCATTTGGCAGCGCAACTTGTTGCCAACGCCCTGCAGCTTCAGAACCTGCTGCTTGCTTCGTGTTGGTCTGATGCTTGCCAGGTTTAACGACCGATGCGCTGCCCGCCGGAGCTGCCAAGAGCCACCGCGAGCTGTTGCTTCTGGCCACCCGCGCGGTCAGACTCACGCATGGAGCGTTGGCGCCCACAAAGCAGATGAGTCGCAAGTCCGCACTGCGTGCGGTTACACACTTTGTTGTCCATCCCCGAGCTTTCACGCTTGCGTCGTGGAAAGTGAGCAATTGCTTTGGAGAGTAGCAGTGCCTTGGCACCTGTCGTAGACCATATTTGGTCACGTTGATACCAACGATGTATCGAAGCAACATGTTGCGATCCGGAGTCCAAAGACATTTGCCAGAAGCCGCGTTTGAACCATGGGTGCTATTTGATGCGCTTCTGGGCGTGCACAATATGAGTTTATTCGAACCGAAAGACAATGAATCGTATCGCTTCGAGTGCGTTACAACCATGAGTTACTTCTTGATCCCTTGCTTCGCGCTTCATACAAACAAACCAGCGCAGGCGCCATAAGTTTCCAGTGTCGTCACGCTCAGCGATCTATCTGCCAATGATACTGTTGAGGCTTGCACTTTGCTTGAACTGCGCATTGGTGAAATCGGACCGCAGGCCGCTATTCAACCATGTAAAGATGCGAAAGTGCTACGCCCAATGAGTTACTCCAACCAACATGGCACCTGTGGGGAGGTACCTGGAAGATTGGTTTCCTTTTGAAGGGACCCCCTCTCAGTTGCCATGTTAGTGGGAGGGAGGGTATTTCAAAGCTTCCATGTACATGTTTCGTAAGAGGTGTCAAATGGCCCACGCGTAAGAAAAGCCTCCGCGCGAGTGAGGTGGCCGAGAATGGTATGTGCGGCGTGCGGGCACAATCACTTGCCCTTGTCATTTAGGATAAGTTAGCGGGCAGAACTCCGAGCGCCCAAAACTGTCGCGACGGTTGCAGACGTGACAGACTTTGTGCCTGAATTCCAATGGCTCCACACAAAGCTGAGAGGCCGGCCCGGCATTCAGCGACTTGAGCGTGCTTTTTTTGAGGGGTATACCACT